CTAGAAACCCAAGGCACAAATAATATAATGATATTAAGATCAGCCGTACTTGGGCGAATAACAACTTGAACGGTTTTGTGATTGCAGTCCAAATAAGCACTCTAATACCAACCGTTGTTTTCAGAGGATCGTTGTAACGCATAGTACATATTGTTCAACTGAAGCGACAGTCCGTTAAAAGTCGGAAATTAAATCGACTATTAGGATTTATGCCTATCAGCAACATAAAGCACCTTCTCACCAACCACTGGGTATCATCCAAGTCAAGGGATTCGGATGTTGCCTTCACAATGAATAAATATGGCTAGGATAGATTGCGGAAATTCGATCTCGACTAAGAATTTTGAAAATGCAATCAGTTACCATTACAGAAAGTCCCTAATCACTTAGAGTAAACGGTCTATCAAATGTATTTATGTATCGCACAGTCATCACTGTGATGATTTGGATTAAATTAAAAATAGGACATGTTTGAAATGCAATAGGGGCTAAGAAGTTTCCATTCGTAATTATAAAGCGTGGTGATCAACTACTGTTAAAATTGCTTCAGAAATGTACCTCATTTAGATTTCACTGAACTTCAAAGACGGTTACGAAATGATAGCTGACTTTTTATTGATTCACATCATGGCAGCCATTTGGTTAGACAGGTTTCTTGGTTAGCCTGATATTTTATTGAGCTATAGACAACTACTGATTGCCATCTTAGTAGGTGTTTCTAACATTTCCATCGATGGTAATGTCCACGACAACCGCACTTCTGAAGATATTTTTCTTTATGCAAATCATATATCGTAATATGATGCATCAGAAAAATAACAATAACTCTTGTAAGATAAATTAAATAGCCCAAAAATTTAAAAAATAGACGCTAGAGTTCATTTTCATAAAAGAGTACTTGCATACGTCTTCAAATTGAAACTGTTAGCAGAATTACAGGTCGATGAGTAACTGCTACTAAACCCTGGAATTCATTTTTATTTTCATATGATTTGAACAAGGGTACGAAGGATTTAGGGCATGCAGATTACTTTTCAAGACTACGAACACGGTTATTCTTGATAAGTTATGAGTAACAGTCTCCTACTTTTCTGATGATACAACAATGGATTGTCAACAAGCAGAAGACAAAAGAACCCAACTGCAGGAAGCCATCATACACAACTGTTGTAAGCGTGTTATAAAGAAATAAACGTTATTCATAACAAAGACCACTTAGGCCTAGACTTCTGAAGTTTACCATGAAATTCGGCAGAGAGTCTTAGAGTTAGTAACCCCTTAGAACAGCAATATGAACAACATGAAATGAAAAACATCCAATACATTGATACAGTTGGCATCGATTGTTAATTGTTGAAACAAAGTGGTCGAAATTCATGTGATAGGTTGGCCAATTTTATAGAAAATAAGCATTTTTCGTCTCCCTAATAATCCAACCTCGGATAATATATATATATATATATATATATATATATATATATATATATATATATATATATATATATATATAATGAATAGATAAGCTATAATCAAAATTCTCGTCATTTAAAATCTTATCGACACAGTGACAGTGAGAAGTAAACGAATGAAGGAAATCAAAAATGAAAACAGTAATGAGAAGAAGATTTGAGGAGATGGATCGATACAGTTTTCTAAAGGTTGAATATTTTCAAACTGGAATGTAGCTACTGACAAGTATGTCATCTCTCTGACATTAATACGTTAGACGTGAAGAGACATGAAAAAAAAGAAATTACGCAAGGTGCAGCCAACTTATTTCATAAGATCAATGAGATGCAGCCTTAATATTATGAAGTGAATAAAATATACATAAATAAATATATGCAAAAACTGATAAACAAAAATGTTCTTCATGAAGAGAGACAGTGAGGAATTGGCGGTATTCAAAAATTTCTTTATAGAAAAACATGAACACTGGGAACACTAATAAGTTAGTCTTTGTATCTTGAATTACAAAGTATGCAATTTAGTTCCACTCTTAAAAAATCATTTTAAAATACAACTAATTAAATAAATTAATATGAATTTGAGTATTGGACTGTGTCACACCTCATTGCTTGGAGATTTGTGGCACACTACTCACTTAGTCTAGCTGAGATAAATGAAGCTGAATTCAAACCAATTGCTGAATAGTTAATAATGGAAAGGGTCTACAATTTTGCAAAATGTATACTACAAGTAGGAGTCTATTTCTGGTGTCCAAAATACATGTATTTGCGTGTAACACGTGAGTTTCAGTAACAGGAACTTATGGATTTTTAGTTATTATGAATGATATAGGACTAAAAATACGTGTTAAAGAATTCTAAAGTATTCGTCGCTCACAATTAGTAGGAGACACCTGAGTCTGGTCTTCACTGAATACAAACCTCATTACAGTGACAATGTTATACACTCTGAAATAATCAATTATCATCATTTTAATAAGCAATACGTTTTTTTTCAGAACTACCTACCGCATAGTTGTTGGTTAGTTTAATATCAAGAATATGTTTGATCATGAGTGGAAACAAAAGTTCATATGAATTGACTGTTTTTCATACTGCTACACACCTGAATTTTATTCTGTTCTAAATGTGATGCATGAGTTCACTGTACATAAAGTAAATCTTAAACCCCTCCTCTTTGAAACTGGATTTATGGCATTTACTGCTTTACAATATATAACTCATAAGTAGACGACTTGGCTGTGACAAACAGTGATATTTTAGGTTTTTAGATTCAACGATGCAAACATGAATAACATTGATTTTATGTCCCCATCGCCACTTGTTATAACCCCAGTCACCACTTCTAATCACTCCATTGTAACTTGTTATATTTTTGTAGTGACCTGATATAGCCTGAGTTATACAAACGTATAATTATTGATATATATATATATATATATATATATATATATATATATATATATATATATATATATGTCAACGCCTAAACAATACTTTTCAGACTCCACCTCTTAGTGGTCGCCCAGTTTCTTGGTAAATGTAAAAGGAGGCAAGGTAACGAAGGTGTATTGCAACGTCAAAATATATAAAATATAATAGTTTAGATATCTTCAATGACCTTGGCCATTTTCAAGCCTTTCGCCCCTTCAACCAATCTAATACTAATACTTTAGTCCATGTACTTTCTCTCAAAACTTCTGTGCAATACGATTGGTTATAGAAAGTTTCAGGGATCAAGAGCTTTTTATGAAGATTATAGCCAACTCATTCCAAACTATAACAATTGATCACAGCTTTAATACGTGCTGTTCATTCAGGTCCATTCAGAGATATTATTGGTCGATTACGGTAGAACTGCTTCAAAGAAACTTCTTAGAATACTACTTCTACCGCTATGGATGTAGTTAAGATATTCTTAAGAAGTGTCCACATCTGTAGTCATTGCATAAAGGAAATTCACGTGGCCAATTCCAGGGCATGAAAAATCTTTTCTGCAGAATACTACTTATCTTGCACTTTCCCTTAGCAGTAAAGTCTATAAGCCTCATGTTTTTTGTTGTAAGACCAACGTCATTGATGTGTGATGGGTAAGCCGAAATTCTTATTTCACACTTTTTCCTGCAGTAATGGAACATTTCTGAATGGGATTATTTCATCCTGTTGCTGAATACCTTTCTTGCACTTTGAAAAAAGTGTGCAGGATGACTTTTAGTCATAAGAAAAAAAACGGACATAACTACATACAGGCAAAAAATTTTTGAATTAGCTTTTTGTCTTAAAATTTGTCACAGAATGCACTAAGACTGACAATGGTATATCAGATCACGCTTAAAGTAGTTATCATGTATGTCTTTCGATTCAACTGTCTTTATGCCTTTCATTTGAGTAACATCAGTAACATCCTTCGCTTAAGTTACAGAACCAATGTAACCGAAACTTATACGCAGGCCACTAACCTTCAGTAGTGGAAACCTATTTCAACTATTCCTTTTCCAAGTTCTATCTTTATTTCTGTAGATATATGCGTGGTTTTAAAATTATGAATGAATCTAAGTAAACTTTACATGAATTCTGTTAAATCAAGTTATGAACTGTACGTAAATAAACATTGTCATCACTACCGTTATGGTAATAACAATGATAATAACTATTACTATTAGCACCATACGACTGTACTCAAAATCACATAAATCATAACGATTTCAGACGTGTATGATTAATAATTTCTAAATGTAATGGTAAAGTTTGAAAAGAGACAGTGGGAATGAATGTCTGCCTTTATAGTGTTTCCAATTATTGAAGTGGGATAGTTTAAACCACTGAATAAAAACAAGTACAGTGAAATAGGCAGAGATAAGTTTGGACAAAAAAATGGATCACAATGTTCAGTGAGTATTTGTATAACTGTGAGTGAATATGCCATCAAATAACTAACCAATTAAGGAAACTCTGGTAGTTAAAGATGACTTACATTTCAGTTGTTCATCAGTAAAAATAAGTAAATAGGTAATGTTACTAAAATTCCAAGGGACATTACTTAGCCCCCAAGCTCCAAAGAAAAGCATGTTAGATAGAGAAGCAATTAAGAATTCACTAATACATAGAAAGTAGTAACAGTAATCAATAAATGTGACTCTTTTATATACTAAATTCAAGTTTCTTGTTTAGGCTGCCATTGCTTCTGCAGTCCGGAGAATTTGGAGTCTGATGTCTTTCTTTTAAGTGGCTGTTCAAAGCATGATACATAACACAGAATGTCTGGAGAAAGAAAGAGCTATTAACAAACTGCTTAAGATATTTCACGTGTGTTTAGTAACACTAGGCGATGAGTTCTAGCATGAAAAAACGTAATTCCTCCACCAGATGTCAACAGGACTGCTTCCATAGAACAAGTGAATTGATAACTGCAAACGGAATAGCTGACCCACATAAAATATTCTTCCTCTTTGGTATCACAACTCGATTACGTATATTATATGTATATATTGGACGTTTAATACCATTAGAAAAAAGACGAGAAAGACATACCTTTGCTGAGTCAGATATTTTGTTCCAATCATTGTTCACTAGATCTAATCGTCCAGATTCTATACGAGACAAGATCACCTCTGGTGTATCATCTGGTTTGAATGCGAATGGTGTTTGTCCAAACAACATTGTATACACTAGCACACCTAAACTCCATACATCACACGCAGCATGATAACCTTGCATTTTAAGTACCTGTTTTTGCAAACCAAAGTGAATAAATACATACTTTTTGTGATACTGAAAAGTAAGTTATGTCATAGATAGACTCACATCTCATATCTCAATGGTGTATGAAACAGCATTTCTAATAAAAAACAGATTCTTGACAGAAATACTTTGTGCAGTATTAATTTCAGAAAATACAATGATAATTAGGTTTTCTCAACAATGGGGAGTAACAGAAAAGGGACATAACTAGAAAGTATGGATTTCGATGGCAGATTTCTAAAGCTGACCGGTAGCACGCTCACGGTTTATACTACGGTGAGTTTTCAAAGCACGATGAATAGTAAAGTACTTTCCAGAAAAAGCCGTACCGATAAATCAGGTTGACAAAAAGTCAAATAAGAGTTAAATAACTGAAAAATGTTACTGACCACAGTCTCCAGTAATAGAGATAAAAATTCCAGAGATAGCTACATAGTTTATTTCCCGCTTAGAATGCATTCAAATTATGATTGTCAAAACAAACAAACATGTAATTTGTATTGAGCAGCTCCTAAAGAATGAATAACTATATTTTTTGTTCACTAAACATATTTTAACTAGGTGTGTATACGCTTTACTATACTACTACTCACAAAATAAAGAATATGAACAAATTGTCATTTTGTTCAATAAATTTGATACAATAATCTTTATCGGTTTATGAGGCCTTGTAAAGTTATAAAATGAATCGTGACCTCGAGTATTATTACACTGAAAATACGAGAAACCCTTTCACATGTTACATATATACTTATGCAGGAGTTATAGTTCATATAAGTGATTGAGTCATTACGTCGTCTACTCAAAAAGGGGATCAATGAGTCATATGCAGTCATACACATAAGTGAATACTAAGTCTAATATTGATCACATGAATAAATACCACTTGAGTAATTAGGTGAATTGTGATAACTTTGTCATTTGTTGGCTTTGAATACTTGTATGTATCAGTGAAATTCAACAGTGGCCAGAGATGCAACTACTAATAATCGTGACAAAGATAAAAATTTTAATCTTCAAGATGTTGTTGTATATAATTATCGAGATTAGCACGTTTGTATACCTTCACCTATGCAATGCTGGGTGTTAACTGTTAAATAAAACTGGTAAATGATTGCTCACGAGACGCTATTTGTTCTGTGTTATATCTGTATGATTGAGAAATCAATACTAACTATTCATCAGCAAAAAGAAATGAGATTATTTTTTCATCGTTCTTCGTCTACAGTTTTTTCTACTTAAATTTGGTCATTAGCTTTGAAGAATTGCCTGGATATCTGTTCTACAACTGGAAGGGTATTCTACATGAACTATCCAATTATACATTTATAAAATCCACTCATCTGTAAAGTAACATCACAAGATATGCATAGAGTGGATATCAGTCCACAATTCAAAGCAAAATGTTTAAACACATTCGCATAATTCATTGCACAGTTGAGTTAATGTCATATTTTACTGCCTCATTTGACAAGTTGCATTATCTATACTGTACGTCTATTCCTCTTTATTTGTTACTTATATTAGCTCAGTGGTAACATCACTGAATGCAACACCGGGTGACATGAGTTCGAATCTCAGGTGGGATTTTAGTCCCTTGGAGGTTGCAGATATCCCTTGCTGATTAGTATCAAAAAGCACGAAACCTAGGTCTAGGGCTTCTTACCAGTTGCCTCTATCCAACTGAAATCACTCTTGGTGCATCACGATGGTGTCTCGTAGCTAGGTGACCGCACTGCGAAACGACCGCTAGAATTTAATCAACACATGTGACTAAACAGCATGAAGTTTGCTACCCTCCAGTAACCAATCAATGCAGATTACTGGTTCAGATGACTGTCATATTAGTTCAAAACTTCACGAACTGTTGACCACCAAGAAATACCATTGAATGGTGATGAATTACCTAGTCGACTAAGCTACTGATCATTTGGTTGCAGATATTGATTATTGATGTTGGAAGACGTATGGAAAGGTGGATGAGTAAAACAACTTACTTCTGGTGCAACAAAATTCGCAGTATAACACGGTGTCATTAACAGACCATTTTCAGCTCTCAGTTGTTTAGCAAAGCCGAAGTCACATATTCTTAGCGAAGACGACGGATCAGAATCATCTGCATACAAAATATTGGATGGTTTCAGATCACGATGTACAACCTGGTGGGTAGATAAAAGAAAAACATTTCGTACACAAAATGCAATCAATTGTTGGATTACATTTAGGCAATGAGTTATTGAATGAATGCTAGTCATCACTAATGATTATCAAATGTATAACTATTAACTAGCTGCCAACATACATGTTATCATTTTTATTCCTGCTGAAATCTAATGTTCAGTGTAGCCAAGTGTTAGTCACAGCGATCTAAAACTTAGCTGAAATGCTTAGAGCAGCAATGACACTGTATCAAACAGCTAATTTAGTTCCAGTTCTGACTCTAGTTTCTTTCATATTCACTGCATCTGTTCACATAAAAGTGTAACAAACTAACAAATGATGATATTGGAAGTAATATTTTATAGTTAGATGTGTTAAGGTTCACAGTAACACGTTGTTCTGTCGTTCAATCAAATGACTGAGAGAAATTCGTTCAAACATTGATGTGGATAGAAACTCTGTGGCTACATAAACCATCCATCAGTTGAAAAATTAATGGAGTATCCATGTGTGCTAATTCCATATATGCATTTCATATGGCAGATATGGTTGGAGTATGCCAAAAAGCTTGTTTTCATAAGGACACTAATTTTAGCCTTTATTCAATACACTGCATGAAGCCTTTATTGCAAGGAGAAACAGTAAAAAATCTTTATTCATCTAAGCTACATTCCTTTCGGCACTAATATACGAGCTGAGGGTGTCTCATGGTTCATCGAGATTATGGTATGTATAAATAGTAATAAAGTCAAAGATTTTAACAGTAACCAGTTGATGCACAAAGTTCAAATAAAGCGAAACTTCTGTGCTGAATATAAAATGCTAAACTCAGTGCACCACAGTTTTATGTCGACCAGCCTAACGACACAATTTCAAAAATGATTCATAGGCCTGTGTCATCAGAAAGGACGTAAAAGCTACATTAGCAACGACCAGGTGTTCAGTTCGAGGATAAAACGTAGTCTATTTGCTGTTTAGTTTCACCAATATTCAAGTGATTTAGTACAATTACATTGTCTTTGTTTTGAGTAAGGTACATTTTATGCCAGCCAATTTTACGTTCACTTTCAACCCTAATTGCGGTTTCCCTTCGCTCGATTTCATCTGACATTTCAAGTGAAAACGGACTCATTTGCATTTTTAGCGGCTATAAAATCACAGATGATCTTTTATACAAATATTGTTTGCATAAATTGACCTTTTATAGTTGAAGAATATGCATAGAATAGTATAATATGACAGTGAAGCATTTACTTTTGCATTCGGGTAGACATAACAACACAAATGATCAATAGTGACTAGGCCTTTTGTTAAAGGTGAGAGCTTTTCATGCATCTAATACAGAATTCATCATCTCAATCATGTTTGAAACCGAATCGATACTGAATATATGAAAGACATTAGTCCAGTTGCTTAACATCTGATTAACATTCAAGTTTGACGACCATGTTCATATGTTAAGAATCAGATGATTCATATTGAAAAACAATTACATCTTCCTGGGAATGAGTGTCTTTCATTAACATCAGTATGAATGTTGAGTGATCTAATTACCGTGTTACGAAAAATTTCATTTCCCGGTGGACTAAGTTAGTAAACAGAAACAATCAAGATTTGATGAATATCATTTGACTATCTGAGATAGCCGTAGTTTGACAGACTAGTATTTATACTGGGTGATGATTGAAGGCGAGATGAAAATCTGGACTGTGGCCGCATTCTAACCAGCGACCATCGGGTATGAATAGTCATTTTAAGCGTATTACCCCTTAGAATAGGTGGAACGTTTGTTGTTGTTGGAATAACGCTTTCACCTCATGAATACTATAAACGAAAGCCAACACCAATGCGAAAAATACATGTTTGATACAAGCTGACTTCAAATTATTCCAAAGAAAGAGAGTAGCTGCATGAATAAGTAGCAATTTATGCTGCTAGAAAACTAGATAACAACGTGGAGTAATGATTGGAGACGAAATGGAAATTTGGACCACTACCGGGTTTGAAACATCGACCACTGGATTTCCGGCCCGACGCTCTACCGACTGAGCTACGAAGTAGAGTATCTGGTAGGAAATCGTTAGTTCGAATCCGGCCCCGGTCCAAATTTCCATGTCACCTTCAATCACCATCCAGAATAAATACTAGTCTGCCAAACGTCGGCAATCTAAGATAGCCAAAATGATAACGTGGAGTAAATTTCACAATTTGTACTATTCCAGAGAGTTAATCTCGACCAGAAACTTCAGAAAAAGCCAGTTTTATTGGGTGAATGATTCATATACAATCTATTGGTCAAGAAAAACAAACAAAACTTCGATGTTACTTTGGAAGAGAGTATTTAATCTATTTACTTTAAAATATATTTGTTCAAACAGACTATTCTTATCTTTGAAGTGTTAAAACATGTGGTCCATAAAACCATCCTTTGATATGTCTGAAAATGGTCAAGCAAAGATAATTTGTTCTTTATATTTCATAAATAAACTGTGTACAACTACATTCAACATTCGAATGACTAGGTGAGAATCATAACAGTGAACCAGCTGTAAAGTATTGACATTTTGGTATTAAGCACTAAGCAATTCGAATGGAATGGAATGCAAAACATATGCAATTCAGGCAAGATAAATACCACTGAACTGAAAACCATTCACATATATCTGGTACAAGTATAAAGAGAAAGTAAAAATTATTAGTACATTTGGATTTAAGCAGTAAAACACCGCATGCAGTGAAAAGACTTCACTATGAAGTGTATAGAATACTAAACAGCATAGTTTTAAGAGTAGAGCCACAGATCAGTCCTGAGTTCAAGTCTAGGAGGAGGAGGCAGGTACATCCAACTGACAAGTTCCATATAGGAAAGAATGCGCGTCCTGAATTCTACCGTTTTCTTTTTTTCTTTATCCATTATTCAATTTGTTACGCCAAAGAATTTATGGTGGTCATAAATAATTTTAACCTGTATTAATGGATACCTCTTCAAAAATTTTAAATTAGTTAATCCTTTTGACAATTTGAAGTAGCTAAACGACATCACATGTTTCAGATAATCCTCTTATTGTCATTACGCTGTTTAAACCTCTTGCTTACTATTGGTTCATTTAACTTTCAATGCATTGCTTGCATTCCTAAGATCTACAGTTAGTCATTAAAATGGAAGAGCTATGCCCTAGTTTTTGTCTTGTTCGATTAGTCCAGTAAACTATTCGACCTAGGGTTTGACTTCTCTAATAATTCAGGCTAGAAGCAGTTGAAAAAGAAATGACCTGTTATTTTTTTCCACCTATAACTTTTGAGCTCCAAATAATTTTCTGCTTCAAAAAGCTTCTTGATGATTGTATCAAAGACAGTTTAACTCATTAGGCCACATCATTAGATGCATACAAGTTCACCAACCTTACAGTGAGCCTGCTTTTAAAACGTGCTCAAGAACAATACCCAGCCTGGCTAGCAAAGCCAGAAGAGAAATGAATATTCAGGTTATTAACAGACAACGTTGTGAATTTAGTCTACTCAACTTCTTTGGGGAATTGTTTCAAAATTCTGTTAAAGGTTCAACCAAATCATTTAAACGAAGTGAGATCAAAAATTTGGGTAAACCTGAAGCACTAATTATCCAGAAGTTAAAACCACCTCTATGCTTCCAAAAATGTAGGTTCAACTTTTGTCTTTACCATGGTTATTATAAAACATCGACTGTTACAGATTAATCCTGTATTATACAATTGCACTTATTTTGTCATCCCCTTATTAATTTTCCAGCTCTAAACCCTTCATTTGTATTGTGTAGTTTCCTTTCGTTATTCATTTCATTTTGACCCTAGGGGGGGGGGAGGGAATAATTCTGGAAGTTTCCGCCATTTTTAATATATATTTCAAGATGTACGGCATAGAAAATGACTTCATCAAAAAGAACCTTCCTTCACTGCAACCGTCTTTCTTGTCTTTTCCCAGTATTATAATCAACCAATGCCAACTATTCATTTCTGTGTGAAGGCTAGACTACTCCAGAAAACTTCAATTGCTTTCATAATTGACGCCTGTTGTTGTCGATTCCCTTGAATAGTGACATGTTACCCTTTACTAGTGGACTGCTGCTAGCTCTCTAGATGTCTTGTTATTTCACAATGAAAAATATACTCTTTTGGCATCGAATGCTCTGTCAATTTCCCATACATAGCCAATAAAGTACTTATGGATGGATGAAATATCATCCATATCTGCCACCTCACTTGAAATGGTGGAGGTTGTTTGTAGCCTAGATGGATGGTCTTTGTTATGTTGCGTTCTCCGAGCTGGGTCTCTTAATCGTGAAGTTTTCATCGTCTTTCCACACGACATCACAAGCACTAACTTCATTATGAGGTGGGCTGCCAATATCTCTCTGTGAGTGATTCAGTAGCTTATCCTGACAAACTGCTTTGGCATTCGTTGTTACCTATGATTGTTGTGTCATTGACTGCATAGATCTTCTTGTTGGCTATTCATCTACTTGACCTCTGATTCTTCTATTGTTTATCATTTTTCTTATTGACTGATAGACTGGATCTATGTCTATGCATCTATTGATTGCTGACCGACTTGAATGTTAATCTTCTGGGAATTTTCTGAAATTCTTTGTGTCTCCTCTGTCTAAGATTTCTACATTGTCAAAATTGAATTCGTGTTCATAGTTATCTACATGCATTGAAGTGAGCCATGAAATATCATGACGTTTAATAGCTAGTAGCAAAATGCAACAACGCACGAAGTAAGTTGCGTTCAGACTCTACTCAAAAGAGCAAGAACACACTGGAATACAACAACTTCATGAAGAAATGAAGAAAATTACATGGTCTATGCTAAGGAGGAGCGGCTACATACGAAACGTTATCACAACATAACTGTCTCCTGCATCGTCACCTCAAAAGTCATCAACAGATATCAAAAAAGGGACCACCCTACCGTACTTAAGGATTAAATCAGAAGTCACAACAAAATTACTGAGGCCACTTAGGATTGGTACGGCTCATAAGCCCTTCAAATGATATAATGCAGGCGAAAGAACGCAACAGCTAAAAGAGATAAACGAAATATCATTCGCAAAATCAACTGAGAAATTATGATCGACTTTACATTGGACAACGTGGTCGTTCACTTCGCCGCCGTTTACATGAACACCTACTGGCTATTACACTTCATGATATTTCATGGCTCACTTCAATGCATGTAGATAACTATGAACACGAATTCAATTTTGACAATGTAGAAATCTTAGACAGAGGAGACACAAAGAATTTCAGAAAATTCCCAGAAGATTAACATTCAAGTCGGTCAGCAATCAATAGATGCATAGACATAGATCCAGTCTATCAGTCAATAAGAAAAATGATAAACAATAGAAGAATCAGAGGTCAAGTAGATGAATAGCCAACAAGAAGATCTATGCAGTCAATGACACAACAATCATAGGTAACAACGAATGCCAAAGCAGTTTGTCAGGATAAGCTACTGAATCACTCACAGAGAGATATTGGCAGCCCACCTCATAATGAAGTTAGTGCTTGTGATGTCGTGTGGAAAGACGATGAAAACTTCACGATTAAGAGACCCAGCTCGGAGAACGCAACATAACAAAGACCATCCATCTAGGCTACAAACATTCTCTGCCATTTCAAGATTACACTATGCCTATTTCTCTTTACTTTTAGCAAGTCATCTTGACAATGAATTAAGCTTTATTAGGGCAAGCGTCGAAAGTTTGTTGTCAGACTTATGCTTTCCTTCAAAGATAGTATATAGGAACGAAAACTAAAGTTTCACCCTGAGGTTTCAGTCAGATTCCGAACAAAAATTAAACCATTATCAGGTATGTAACATATTAAAATGGCATGATTTATTCTGTGACTTTCTGAACCGTGGTCAGTGTTTAAAGAAAAACTGATGGAGCTATAGATATCAACCAGCATTAAAAGCGTCAACCAGTGCATACTACCATTTCACTGTAGATGCGTTTACTGAACAGACTCGAATGAAATTAAAATATACCACAGTTTCCAAATTTCACCTTTACTGAAAAAGCAGGCCAATGAATCAGTATAGTGATCCATAGTATGAATAATAACTGAAGAATGAATTTTAGATGCACTATTTTCCCTATTGGTTTCAACCACTAAAATGCTGTTCTATAAATTTTCAGATCTAAAATATCAATATTTTGAAGGTTGTATTAGGTGAAGACACCTGCTACCATCCATCTTTCAGGAAATGCGATTTCAGTGGTATTTTACCAGTAGACAGCTACCTTGGTTTTTGGAGCATTAGCTTCGTCATGAGTTTTTGCATAATGAAGTTGGCAGTACAATAGGGCCGACCAAGAATAAGTAATACAGAGGTTGTATGTAAACAACTGTATATGTATACAACGTTTATGTTAAGGGAATAAAGTAACAATAGATTTCTTAAATTTTGTGGTATATTAGAAAAAAAGACCTGGATGTTTATCACCAACATGTTTCAAGAATTTAAGCATTCAGCGAAGCGCAAGTGAGTTTGATTTAAAATATGGAGCAATATTTAAGATGCATAATTGCTAGCATTAAAATTTAAAGCGCGTGATTCGCTGTATTTTGGACTCAGCTAGATGCAGCCGCCCCCTACTAGGTGTTTTTACCCCACTGAGAAATTCCGATCATTCAGTTGTAACCAAACAATAACAAGGAAAAAGTAAACTATCTTATCAAATATGGTGCACCCTGATATAATTGCAGATAACGTATACTATGATTACGTTTACTCAACGGAAATGGGCCTGTTTAACACCAATAAAAATAATAGTTAGAGTACTACTTGAATCAATGTTTAATTATCTAGAATAATATGCACAATTCAAAGAACTATTTTAATAAAAAGTGACTTTTGTATAAAACCAAACAGTTGAAAGGTAGTTGAGTCTGGATATTTAAGAAGAAATTCAACCATATCTCTTAAGTTCATAAGAAAATAAGTGAATATACACTAATCTAGCGATGGTAATAATTAATCCCTTTAAGGTAAGATCAAGGTATATTTTATGAGCTTTGTATCCAGTGTTATTTTTAATGAACCTTCATAGTGAAACACAATAAAATGTGGTTTCCAGCATGTTGTGTATGCTATTCAATTTTTGAATGTGGATTCATAAATGGGAACAAGAAGTCAGAAAGTACATTTTATAAGAATTTATAAATTCCAGTAATTTTTTAAAGGATTGAGTTTTAGACTTATGTATGCAATAAACAGTAACAACTAATGTTCCATACATTAGTTTAGTATTGAGACTGTAAAACTTATGGTTCGATTACCAATACAACTTTTTTGTATATATTTCGTTTCATCACCCTTACATTCCACACATAAATCATATTTCTTAGTTGTAAGTCACACCTTGTTCATTATTAGAAATCCCTTGTGTAATCTTTTCTCTTGATAACAGTTACTATCAAGTAGCATACATATGACGCTATTCTGCTGGTCTTTTGATAACTGGTTACATAATACTACCAATACATAGTTCTTTTTATCTAACCAACTTCGAGTACAAAAACTCAACATCTGATACTTGCTTACCTTACTTTCCTAGCTAGTATTCATTTTTTGATATTTTATATATATGATAGGAGGTAGCATCTTTGATGTTTAATCAAAAGGTGCTTTTCTCGATCTGCCATCCAGTTTTCTTTGCTGCTTATGGCATGTTTATCTAATTCACATGTTAATAGGCTATCCAAATAACTATTTTATTACGCTCATTAATTTCCAGTAGTTTGACCATGTCAGTTTTCTATTTCTTTCAGGGTGGACATTTCTTTGTCAAGCTGATTATAGTAGGTAAGTACACTTTCATAGATTTGAGCAGTAAAAATGTTTTTTGTTTTAATCAGCTCATTAGAAAACCCTTGAAGTAAAACAAATTTCCGCTTTTCGCCTTATTTCTGATTTATTTTGAAGAGTAACGGGTGCATACATCACTATATGTCGCCCTGAGAAATTGATTTATGTTATTGAGAATATTTTGTAAACCACATCTAAACTTTCGCAAATATGTGTATAGCACAACAAATTATTAGCTTTGTGCTTGAAAAGTACAATTTAGCCAGCCATTTATCCCAGTAAAGATTAAATCACATAGTAGGAAAAAGAAATACATCGAGGTTATGACTTAAAGTTGGCATACTGAAAAGAAAGCTGAGTTTTGAACAAATAAACAAAAACTTACCATATTACTGTGTAAATAACTTAAGGTATTGGCAATCACATAGGTTATACTACTGGCTTCACGTTCGGAGAGGAATTTCTCTCGGAATATTTTATCGAGTAATTCACCTCCTTTAAGGTATTCCATAACAAGATAAACTATATTTTCATTTTCATAAACCTGAGAAAGAAGAAAAGAAAAAATGGTAAGATATAAGAAACCAGCAAATTAAAGATTTTGAAATATACTTTTTACACAGGTGCGATTAGCAAACCATATTACTTGTATATAGGTACTAATCATGATAAGGGATGACCCGACAAGATAGTACACTCATAATCTGACTGTTTTATCTTCATTGAATCGGAGACATATCTGCCTTTAAATATGGGCGGACGTTAAAATCTTTATCAATTTTTCTCACACTGCAATTAATATTATGGCTTTGAACACAACTTAAGAAACCAATAACACAAAACAAATGGGTGAATACACTCTAACACTAGTTAATTTCATTGAAGAGTTAAAATGGACATCCAAACTGAGTTCAACAGTTATTCATTAAATATTGATCTATACGGGTGGAAAAACTGAAGCCTACTGATGAGAGTTCGCATAAATGTGTTTACTAACAGTGCAGTAAAGAAGCTATTCCATTTATGACTTAGATGCAAACTTATTTTCGCAGTATATTTATCCGAAATAAAAGTGAAATGTTGTATTTCGGGATTTTGTAACTCTTTTCATATACAACGAATGAAGGTTATGGAGCATGCGTAATGCACTTATAACTGTATTACTTAACAATATTAATGAAGGATAGTAGATATTTGTACTGTTCATTCAATAAAAAGGCCAAAACAGACACACAAAGTACCACTTACAAAACCTACAAAAATGTGTTCACTTACAGAATAACCTTTCATTTTTTTGCTTACAAAACTATTTAGAATAATCCCAAAGTCACCTTAAATTTTCAAAGGAAAATGATGTTTATATCTTGAGACAGTTTAAAGTGTTATCGTCTCACTAAAAGATAACGCTGATGAAGTAGCTTCCGCACGAATGACAAACTGAAAATTACCAGTTTTTCTTCATTAGAAATGTATGTTCATAAAAATAATACAATAGGAATTGTGTGTTTTTGTAAAGTATGAGCCAGTCGTGAAATGTCGGCATCTTTAATCAGTGATACTTTACCCTCAGTGCCGACATAACACAATAAACTATATGACAAATACGTGTTAGGAGATAACAATTCATCAGTTAGCCTGTTAACTATAGGATTCAATCAAGGGTATAAAAGTATTTAAGCAGCCCAAATAGCCTTCAGCCGTTCAGAATAACAGAAAATTGATAAAGACAAGAGTAAGGACAGAAAATGGGTAAAACAAAAAAATAAAATGAACGTTGAAATAAAAAAGTCTACTATTTATCATTAGCTATGCTGAATAGTGAAAAGATTGTGTCACTGTTTCTAACAGGTTATTGATTCCCATCAAGTAACTCCTACTGTACAGTAATATTTGCATCATATTTTTGTCATTTTGCTCAAGTCAACAGATTATTTAAAATGTATGTACCAGTTGCTAACAATCAATTATACCAGTTCTATGTAAAAGTGTGTTGTTAGTTGTCGTGATCTGACAAAGCTAAACGTTTGTCCCTCTTTCGGTATGTATTTACTTGCTTTTGTATAAAATGAGAAGCATCACATTTGGGATGGATTTCGATTGTCTGTAATTGTTTTTCTGGCATGAATTTATGTTTCTGCACTATAGACAGGTAGGTAGTGAAAATCTGTCTTCTTATGCTTCCTGCATCATAGTACTCATCAAAAAAGTTTATTGCAAAGTAACGAAAACTTATGCCGTCGCTTGATCAAAAACAATGTGGCGTTCAACCATATAGTGGGGGAAATAGTTGGGAAATTTATTCCGGTTGAGATTGATCTATGGAGTGACAAGCATCTGTCAGTTTAAACCCTCTTACTCGTTATTCACAAAATTCTGCAATGTACTGTCCATTCTGGCGCCTAAATGCAGCCTTTAAATATTTCATCTTACCAAGCTTGTCTTTTACATTTTGTGGTCGCCATCTACTGGTATCTTAAGTAAAACTACGTAGAATAGCATACTCATCGGTGAAGTAGGCTTTTAACTATTTCCCCCCACTATATGGCTGAACACCACATTGTTTTGATCAAGCGACGGCATAAGTTTTCGTTACTTTGCAATAAACTTTTTTGATGAGTACTATGATGCAGGAAGCATAAGAAGACAGATTTTCACTACCTACCTGTCTATAGTGCAGAAACATAAATTCATGCCAGAAAAACAATTACAGACAATCGAAATCCATCCCAAATGTGATGCTTCTCATTTTATACAAAAGCAAGTAAATACATACCGAAAGAGGGACAAACGTTTAGCTTTGTCAGATCACGACAACTAACAACACACTTTTACATAGAACTGGTATAATTGATTGTTAGCAACTGGTACATACATTTTAAATAATCTGTTGACTTGAGCAAAATGACAAAAATATGATGCAAATATTACTGTACAGTAGGAGTTACTTGATGGGAATCAATAACCTGTTAGAAACAGTGACACAATCTTTTCACTATTCAGCATAGCTAATGATAAATAGTAGACTTTATACCTCAATATTTTAAAATCACTGTGACTCGAAACAGTTTCTGAAATAAACATGCTCTAAACGTAGAAGAGCTGAAGAAGTAATCGCGTTGTTTCTCACCGATCACAATAGTGGACTGACAATCCGGTTACCTTCACTCAATATCTGGAAATTGTTTTTAAAGCACGATGAAAGGTTTCTCTACAGCTTTTACTCATATTGTTTTTACTACTCATTTGTCAAGATATGAATTATTGGAATCGTATTTAAAATGATGTAACAGGAAGTTTTCTGGGATAAATTTGCGGCGATGAATGTGTTAAACCGGTGGCGGTGAATTTTTTAAGTAAAAATACATAAAGGAAAACCTAGTGAGTCACGCACTCCTCAACCTGATACTGCAAAAAGAAAGATACCGCAACATTTGAGCAATTTATAAATAGAGAAAATAACATTCATTTTTTAGGCATTTAAAATCTCTTTACTGTAGCAGCGTGAATCACAGAAATCTGTATTCACTTCGTTTAAATTTGTAGCGCTTCTGACATCTACAAAGCCTAACTACCCACACTAATATAAAACATATTTAATTATATGTATATTGGTAAACCTCGATTTCAACAATGCAATTCAGGAAAAAAAAATCTATTTCAAACACTGCAGCTCGGTTAGATCTTAATTTTACAATTATATCACTATCATGAACTCAACTGCAAGTAAATATAAATTTCTTGTTACCTTCAAATGTATAACCAAGTGTTGTTTTCATTCAAATTTAAATCCTTTTGGTTTTTCAGCAATTTGCCTCATGTTCATAAGTGACGCGCTAAATTCTTTTTCTAGATCACATTTTAGGAGTTAATAACTATCAGAAGAGGGAAAGTAATGCATGAACTATACAAAATTGGGTTCCTGTGAGAAATAACCATAATTCTAAGGATTTTGATGACAAGTAAAAACTTCTTCAAGGTTATCGATGATATGTTCTTGAAATAACAGACAAATTTTTTCTCTAAAGCTGTACAGTAGCATGTATTTATCAAATGTTTTCATTTCCCTATTAAAAGTTTGCAAAATAAGTAGAAATAAACAGGAATAGGTACGTAGGTCGTTTATCTATGTCTATCCTTTTCCATATTCGAAAACACCTACTAGTATGGCTTAGTAGAGAGCAAAGAAGATCAATCAAGTTATTCAATTTTGCAGCATGTAGTCGATGTGTGACATTTGGCTCAGAATACCTCATTTGATATCATATAAAAACCAAACCAAACCTTCTAAAACGTGTAACTTTGCATTTACTGCCTGTTGCGAAAGCCATGGCAATTCATAGTTTGAACCCCACAAAGCAGTTTGTTAAATCTTTTTCGTTACCATGGTGCTAATTTGGTCAACTAGTAAGGTATTTGAATATCTTGAACATTGATCACTCTTATATCAAATTATCTTAGATAGGTTTTTATTGTTTTAGGATGGATTACATAAACACAAGTAACTGGTTGCAGTCAAAAAAGCTACATTCGCCAGATTCTCAGTTAAAGTGGTTTTGGGAACCGTAAGAGTGATTGGTAAATGAATCAGTGTTTTCGGTAGATTTTCTTCCATTATCAACAAGGGGGAAGTTCCAATGGTTGACTTGAAGGAAGTGACCAGGTCTAGTAAATTCCGCAGTAATTATTATTCATATGTCAAGGTGTCGAATGTATTCCAGAAGACTAGTAAACCGAATTCCGCAATCCATAGGGCTGGTGAGCAGTGTAGACATTTTTTGAATCAGTGATACTCAGAAAGACAAAGAACCAGAAAGAAATTGAAGTATGCCGTGAATCCTACTGCTTATGGGTGCCGAATATGAAGAAATGCTATCATAGAACAGTGTATTAACTTACCTGTATCCCAGGTGAAATCACCGACATACTAACATGAAAGGGTTGCCATTCATCATGAGGGATTTGATCAATTTTAAAATTGGGTTTAGTAAGTGTAACACAGATTAAACATTTGACCAAAAAAGATAAATAAAAGACTCATAGGAGAATACTTTGGATAGTTTGTTGAATAAGTTAATCGCACTCACTTTGGCAAGCTAATAAAATGCTGATGAATGCACGTTGAATGCCGTATTGTTATCATTCCATTCAGATAATTTGGCATCCTTCTTATTCAATTCAAAACCACTGCAATCAAATTACACTGGAATTCCGAAATTTCCAACCGAAATTTATTTGAACAACGAAGCAGTTCATTTTCTGCTCCTTTAGATCAAAGCACAGGGCTGATTTCAGGTTGGAATTCATCACAAAGTGATATGAGTTGGAGAATCACTTAGGACCTAGAAGCACTAGACAGTTGTTTCACCCCAGAATAGAACTCCTCAGAAATATATATATATATATATATATATATTAAACTGGAACGTAACACATCTAGTCAGAGGATACGGTACAGGTGACTGGCGATGCTTGTTCGTTTGACACCCACATGTGAGTCAGTAATAGAGTCATATTAAATGGTTAATTCAGAAATGTAAAATTTACAACGACAAATTCTCTTCACGATTGTGCATAAGGTCTGTCTTAATCAGATCAGTTAAAACTCATATCCAATAGAATAAGCCTAGATACTAAAGTAAATTATTGTAAAACAATGGGCTTAAAGGATAGCCACTGTTAGTGAGTTATGAAATTTATTGTACTCCACTAGTCCAAAATACAGCAGTTGAAATTACACTGTGTAAACAGTCATATACGTTTCAGAAATTATACCTAAGAAGCGTCACTTGCATGTTATTTTATTACCACTTGCCTGAGCAATTTTAAAGCTATAAGTAGACTATTAGACTACTAAGCGGAGGCGTAATAGTAGGCAATCAATCCACAATACCTGAGGTGGTTTTATGTATTACATATTTCAAACGAACATTAAAAATACTGCAAGTGGGTGTCATCTGAGAAGAAGTAAGTATAACTAGATGCATGTATTTAGCCAATTCATGAATTCAGTTTTCATTCGTTTCATCTGTAATGAAAACTGAAAGCATTCTGTGATAAAATTGCGTGAGGTGTTTGAAACTAGCTAGTAAAGAGACTGAAGAATATACTGCGAATCATTACAGTTTTTAAAGATTTATGCAGATCTTTTATTGCTTTTAATGTTTCCACTATTTTCTTGTTCAGCCTATCTGTTTTAGACTGACTGGCAATGTATGATACCAAAGAGATTTTGCAAATGAATATGGAAGGTACTGAGTTACGTTTTCCAAATCACTTTTAGTACACTTTGTTTGAAACGCATTTAAGCTTTCCATCTAAAGGGAATCAAAACTTTAGCTTCATTTATTAAAACTTGAGTATTTAAACCTGGCAAAAAGCAAAGCTTTTTTAAAAAAGCCTTCTCTTAGCCGTATACTTAATATACACTTCGATTATGCAGAAATGTATGGAGAAGAAGAATCATGGGTTTAGCTGTCAAACTATATCCGCATATATTTAGGAAATTTTCTTATGACATCACAAAAATGCAAATTTTTCACTTCAAACACTGGAGCACAATGACTCAACGAGATATGCTACCTAACAGAAATGCTTCTTTGGCTTAAACTGTGTCAAGAAGGTTTCTTGGATAGAAGTAGGACTGAAACCAGTTATTAGTGTAAAATTTATAGGTGACATTATGAAAAAAGGGGAGTTGTAGAAGTGGCTGGCCGGGGTAAGATAACAGTGATTTACATGCAGATGATCAGTTATCCGCTCTTATTCTACTTCCCGTACCAGGCTCGTAAATAGCTCACTCTTTCCTTCCTTTTGGGCGTTTGCGTTCAGCGATAGCATTGTGAAATTTTTATTCAAATCTCTTGAAAAAAATATAACTGACTGACCTCAAACTTCACAGATTTTGCAGTCACAAATCACAATTACTAATCCGAATTCCACTCTCAAATACCTTGCAGAAGTAACTTTTACAGTGTGAGAGTAGCCTGGAAGTACCGACCGACCACATTTCACAGCAGCCGTAAAAACGCCTCCATAAAATCGGTGAGATATTTGATCTCCTAAGTTTTCTATTTTTCCTCAATTATTCATTTATTTCACTCTCCACCTCATAACAAATTTTAGTAAACTATATTCGCTACTTCTACACCGCCTTTATTCGTTTTTAGTTTTATTACATATATCACTTAATAATTAGGCTTTCAAGAAACACTTACATTTTGAAAAGCTTAACTAATTCACCTTGTTTGTTTGTTAGTTTTCTAATCATGGGTTGAGTGTTCACCTACCTTACACACCTCAAAAACCTAATTAAACACTTTCACTCCACTCTATTTAATATCGACTGCATATATTTCTTCAGAAAGTTGACCTTCACAACGAGAAACTGATGCAAGAAATATAAAATATAAAAATGAACTCATTTTGAAGAGAATTATTTACTTGTTTTTCAGTGTTTTATCAGAGATAACGAAATCATTAATGTAAACAACTAGTCAGCTACTTAAGATATCATTCTATATATGATTTTTAGAAGATTCGTGAGATATAGCATTCATAATTATACGTCTATAGATAACTGATGTAACGTGAAACACTGAGGTGGCACCATTTAAGTTAAGTACCAAGTATGCCATTTATCTATTGCACTCGTTTCTTGTCCATACATTTAAGTTGACGGATAGATGTGCACGAAAACTATAGTTCTTAAGTGTACATATATAATATATTTGTCTTTTCTCACATATTCTCTACTGAGTAATGATAACCTGTTTTTTTCAGTAGCTTCTATCATTCTCCGTTTAAAATAGAAACCGCCTACATTAAACTTGGTTTAATAGACAGCCGAATTATGTCAAAACTATTTTTATTTCCATGTCTTAGGTGTTCTTATTAACTTACAATGCTTTAAGGGAAAAAATATCAACCCACATTCATATATGCATATATATTATATGTTATATATATTAGGCTAGTATTCATCATAGAGTGACATCAGTTGGAGAACGACTGAAAACCTGGTAACACTGAATAGTTGCTTCTAGTATGGGACTCCTCAACAGCACACACTCGCGATATCATGAGTGTCTACTGCTCAGAAGTCCTATACCAAGACGAAACAGCTATCCAGTGCTCTCAGGCTTTTAATCATAAAGATTAAAATCCCCATTTACCTCAAAATACATATATGCGCATATTACTTCTGAATGAACACTCTAAGTGTACGCTATTGTGTATCACTACTATATATTTGAAGCTTGAGTCTTATGAGACTTTTGAACAATACATAGCTGCCCAAATCCTTTGTCTTCTCAAAAAGAATAATTAATCATAATACATTAATAAAGATTAAAATGCTGACTTTTATTAGACAAGAATTAAGCTTAGTTTCGTGAAGTATGAAGTAATGAAAGTAAGCATTACGTTGCTGAAAGCAAGTTACAAAACTTGACACGGTTGTAGAGCAAATTTATTTTGGTTCAATAAGTTTTACTTATGAAGAGTTTTCTATTCGAATAGTGCAAGTGTGCTTCATTTCCTTAGACTGCATAGGCGTATTTCAAGTTTGAGAATATCGAGAAACTTAAGCAGAATATCAAATGAAACTATATCCTTAGTGAAAATAATAGCTTCGGTGAAAAGACTTGTTTTTATTATGCAAAGATTCACACAAACATTAAACTAACTCTCTACCAAACTACGAGTGGTTTTAGCTACCCAAGATACATTATTGCATCAATAAAATAAATAGGATGTGGTATTACACAACTCATTAGACATGAACCTTTTAATCTGTCTGGTAATGTTAGGTATGAACTTTTCCATGAGACTTTATAAACTTTTATATTCGGCCTAATCACAAGATAGCTTATCGTATTCCCATAGTTGACTGTATCGAACCTAACAGCAACTAAGGGTTTACAGGTTCCTGCACAGATCTTAGGTAATGCCAATTATGTCATAATCCAGTATTTTAGTGAATAATGCTGTGGTTTTTGATGAGAACGTGAGGGCCTTGCATCTCAGTGAGAATAATACCACTTGCTGGGAGGCAGTTAGATTCAGCCGAGGAGTCCTAATTAGGATGAAATGTTCGTCCAGGATTCTACTACTAACTAGTATCTATCACTATTGTTAAGCTACTAGATGTTTAAGAAAAGGTTATTCAAGTAAAATAGATCACTTTTCAGTCAATTTTCTTAAGAGCATGAATTGATTGACCTTCAGAACAAAGTACAAATACGAAAATTAGGATTTAAAGACACCCTTAAATAACGGAAGTTTCTCAAGAATGGAACAATTGAATATCAGTTGCAAGATCAGGGCTGAGGTTGTAGCTAGCGAACTGACATACGTTGAGTCATTGACCAACATAAAATACAAAAGAAATGGTTTTCTCATGAATAAAAAAAACACAGTTAACTTACTTCTCGAACTGAAACAATATTTGGATGGTTGTGATGCCTAAGTAGTATCTCAACTTCTTCTCTGGCGTCTCGTTTCGACTTGTCTATAATCTGTAATCATAGTAAAATAATAACACAAACTCCATCAGATTGTGCTATTGGAAATGTGAAATACACATGTGAATAAGCAGTAACTGATCAGTAAAGCCTGTATAAGAAATGATGATATGTTGATGCTGTTAGTTGAAAAAATTAACGAATGAGCTGTCATGAAGTGCTTATCTACCCTGCAATAAAAAATCAATATAGAAGTAATTTTCTCAATAATGTATTAGAATATTAAAAATGTCTTACAAAATATGTCTGAGTGATCAATTGATTTTTATGCGCAAAACATAACCATAAATATTAATCATCAGATAGTAGTCGATATAGTTATCATAGTGCTCATAGATTAAGTTTTCAGTGCGCTTATTAAGCTTTTCAACGTTTCTTTATTTGGTATTGAGTGACTATAATCAATCAACATCTAGGAATTAATAACTTCATTTGTTATCACTAACTGACTATTTAGCATAAGCTGCGCATCCAGTCCTAAAAGGGATTAGCTGTGACCCATGTGATAGACTTGTAGCTTGAAATGCAAGTAAGTTTCTGCAATAATTCCTAATTGGTCTCATTAACTGGTGCCAGCCAACTGGATTACATTTAAACTTCCACTGCATGAAAACGTTTTTCTCTTTTAAATAAACTGCATATTTAAAGGCACTTTTTAAATAACAGAAATTCAGTAAACGTTATACCAATGGCAACATAAAAAAAACAGTCAGTGGTAAATAAACACATTCAAAGTGATTAACACTCACGGCCATCGACTCAATATATAATTGTGTAACATGTAACGAAAACCATATGGAATGTATAATGGATAACGTGAATAGCCAAGACGAAACCTTACAGCTATAATAACGACAGATTATCGGAAGCACAGAACTTGGTCGCTGTTGTAGAATGCAAATTCTATTTCAGTTGATTTATTAGACGTATTACAAAGTGAAACAGTATTATTTACTGGATTACGTTTCGGGCACAATTTATTATCCATAGTCATATTAGGATGGAAAGTGAATTGTGTCCGGAATGTAATCTAGTAAATAGTTCTGTTTTACTGTATAACATATAGAATAATTCAACTAAGATAGACTATATTATCTGGTGGCAAGTGATATCAGCTGTCTCACTAAACCTTAGTATGGTAGGGCATGATTTAATTTCCTTTGTGTCTCAGTGACTGTGAATGGCTTGAGAATAATAACAAGAAATGAAACATTAACTTTCTATTTCATGATCACTTTTTTTTAAAAGTTGTTACATCATCAGTTGTCTATAGTTAGCCTTTAACATAAAATTTCATAATTCAATCGAAGTGCAACTTTCACATTTTTTAAAATGTCATCGAGTGCTTGATAAGTATGTTCACCAAGTGGAACGGGTTGAAATATGATCCTTCATTGGGAAGAAAACTCGTTTGTCGAATTATTCCTGTAAAGCAGTGATAACTGTGGTAGAATGCAACTTCCATTTTAGTTGATTTATTAGATGTATGATAAAGTCTAACAGTGTTATTTACTGGATTACGTTTTGGATACAACTTATTGACCATAATCATATCAAAGTCGTGATACGACTACAACAACAAGGGTAATAGATAAAAAGCAACAATTATTTCTAGATTTACCTACCGATGGCAGTTAGATAACACGCAATACGGAAGTTGCAGTATTATAAGACGATACTAATAAGAATAAAATAAGCGAATTTCAAGCCGACAACTGAATCGCTATTACTTCTTTAGTTTAAACAAATCATCTTCAACAAGCTTAATTACAGTAAAAAGTGAAACAAATAGAAGATTTCATGCAATAATTGCAGTGACTCAACCTAGGTTTGGTAATCCTTCTTTTACTTCATGTTTGTTGTTTGAAGAAAATCACATTGAAATTCTGCGGTGCTAAGTATATATATATATATATAAATATATATCTATGTAATAGTACAAAACAGCATGAAATCATATTCATCACGCAAACACAGATAATAGTACATATATGATGCATACATATCCTTCCACATTTATAACGTTGCAGTAAAGTTGATATATAATTTAGTATAGATGCAACCAAGTATGATCGATAACCTATTTGGCTATGAGCGTTGTATGATGGAGGAAAACAAGATTCTAGCCATAACCTTTCAATATATACGATAAGATAGACAAATAGACAGTGTAAAAGTATATGTTTTAGACAAATTCCAAAGAATGACCCGGAAATAGCAAACAATCCAGTAAGAAAAATCTAATACTGCTACTTACAGACTTTCAGATTACATGTTAACAGTAAAAAGAAACCCATATTCTACACTTGAAATTGTACATCTGTATCAGTGAAACTCTAACAACAATAAAACATGGAAACAAATACTATCATAGTTATTTTATACGTGACAAACAGCCTGAATAAATGCAGTAACAACTTAGTAAAACAATAGATGTTCATTGCTTAGTAAGCTGCATCGTAACAAATTGTTTCTTTGGAATGAAAGAAAGCAGAAATATAAACAGTGAATCCACAAATGCATGAAGACTACTAGTTACCTAAAAAATACTAACTAAAGCACCAAATATACAGAGCCAGAAGAGTAAAGCCAGGTAAAGGCGAAACAACCATTATTCAAATTTTCCAAGGCAAAAAGGTGGAACCTTCAGATACTTATGTTTCAGAGCATGTCATTCCACAACTGCACACAGTCCAGTGCATTCACTTTCAGGTTTTTTATTCATGCTAAGGGACAACTGAATCATCTGAGAGCACAATCTGATTTTAGTAAAAAGTGAATTTGGAAAATTGTTGGTGGGAAAATTCCCGAACAATGTGCGTTTCTTAGTCTTTTCTGCAAGTGTTCACTAACAGGTAATCTGTGACAAATCACCTTATGCATCAGTGTACGACATCTGAAACACTTTCACCTGAACACTAAAGCTTTATCATCAAAATCATAAAACATAAACCATGAGTTATTTCCTATGTAAATATATCATTGTAAATCATACGAAAAAATAAACTGTACAAATAAACACACACTGACATCAACTGGGGGAGTGAGGATGGGAATACGTTTCAGATTTATCGCGTAAATGCAAAGCCAGGTGCATCGAATACCTCCTCAGCAGTCTACTGTTGACCAAAAATAATTGAATCTCAAGTTTATCTTTATGCTTATGCTCTTAATTTCGTAAGTCATTGGATTCTGATTAAAAATCAAGTAATTGTCTTTATGTCAGTAACTTATGATAATGTAAATTTTAATCAATCAACCAAGTAATAAATGGACTAAATTTGTAAATTAAATTTTATTTTATTAAATGTAGGCCTCATAAATAAATGTATGGGTGAAACTTTGTGCATATGCTTAGTACCGATTTGCACAAAATTGATATAGCATTTTAAATTTATTTTTTCCATGTTCAAACTGGAGAGATTAAAATTGACTAAACAGAATAAAGAGTTAACTGGTTCACATTGCCAAGGATGTACACAATATTTCCTGAGCATTTAATACAAGAAGCTATTAAATTCCAAAATTAACAATGAATCTATCATCTCCGTTAAAGTGTTTCAGCCTGTCGTGTTACGTATGATAATACCGACCGGTCAGTGCATTCCTTGTCTTTTTTAGGTTCATATTGAAAATGAGCTGGGCAAAATATTTTTCTGTCACTCTGCAACAAAGAGATGGATTCAAGATATTGAGCAATTAAACCTCAGTATTACTTTATCAACCGACCAAAGGGATCTTGTCACTGCTACACCTGATACTTCAGTGGTTTTACAGTCATCCAGGTGCAAATCAGCAGCAAAGCAGTTGAATTCCGTTTTAACTGAAGAACTTACTTCAAATAAATTAACTTTGAACTGATGGTCATCGAGTGACTAGATCGTTTGGGATAAAAAACTTCTGTTTGGTATAGTAACTTTGCAAGCAACATGATCACTTTTATCCAAGGCATAAATAGAAATTAGGTAGGACAGTATGAGATCAAAGCAAAAAACTTTCGACTTTTAGATCTACTGTGACATGGAATAGTCTTCCTGTCAGTTAATTTTTACAAATCATCAGTTATTTCCGGTTTAAGTGATCAGAAAACACAAACCCATTATTTTGCAAAAGGTTGAAACCAGTTGTTAAAAGCTTTGAAAAGTATCGATCTAACACAAATGTGTTTCTTTTAATGGTCCATGACTCAAATGCACCATCCATCTTTGGCATCTATCAATCGACGAGTGAAATAGCATAGAAAAAGACTATGCTATCAATTTTCTTACATGCGTAACTCATATTCTTATTGCTGAAGAAGGAACATGTTTTTAAGGCTCTTATCGATTAATTAAATTACAAGCCAGTATGATTAATATTATTATTATTGCTTTCACATACATGCGTTTCGAGAGATATAGCATGGAGTTTAAAGCCCATATTCACGAAAAGACCGCCTAATATCCACAAAGTAGGCTGAAATGAACAGTGAAAGCCACAATAACTAGTGGATGTGTTTTTTTCACTAAACACCTACCAAACTGTTATCAAACTGTAATAAAATCTTCCAACAAGGTTTACAAATAAGAACAGTTTATCAAGACACACTGCATTTACATGAAGTTTCTAAACATAAGCAAAGTTACAGTGACTGATGATATGATAATTGTAATTTCGCGTGGCTATACCGGGGCGAATTGCTCGACCTCTGTTGGCAGGTGTGCTGCTATGCGCATACCCCGATACTGGTAGGTATTTATGATGCTGATGTTGAGTGCAGGTACATCCGGCTGACGAGGCCCAAATAGGATGGACCACTCATCCTGGATTCCTCTGCAAGTCACCAAGACCAATATAACATCATGAATATCCAGCAGTATTGAAGCATCCGGCTTAGGGACCATCTGCCAACAGAGGTCAAGCGATTCTGCCTTGTATAGCAAAAGAGAAATTACAAGTAACATTACAACAAGTGATGCCCGTTGTACAAGAGGTGACTGTCGTGCCCCACTGGC